ATATATATATATATATATATATATATATATATATATATATTGACAAATATTCACAAAGAAAATAGGCCAGTAAACCGCCACATTGGCAAACTGTTTCACTTCAAAATTTAAATATAAAGATATTCGATAGGATAAGCATATATTTCTTATCTCTTAGCAAAAAGAAAAGAACATCGCCTAATTATCCCTTCCAAAGGGAGGGTGATTGAAGAAAAAAGAGATATCTACAACCTTTGGTCAATAGAGCTGAGCGCATTCACTCCGTATCGATGTATCTGCATCTCAGGCCAACTAAAACATCACTATATAGGTCTTGGGGAGGGGGAGCAAGTAAAAAAGAAGCGGGAAAGAAAATAATGTTGCTATATTAATAATAACAGTAATTTAATGCATCAGCAGATTACAAAAAAAAAAAAAGAGTCATATTTCAAGCCCCAAGTTGACTAAATATATATAAACAAAATTTATTAATAATTGAGAAAAAAAAGCAGAAAAGAACAACAAAACAAAAACACCTATCATTTTCGCCGACGGTAACGTTCGGTGGAGTCACTCCGACTTCTCCGCCTTTTACGTCGATTATCGTGATGACTTTTTCGGCTTTTCCCACGGTGACGTCTGTCACGGCTTCTATGACGTCTGTCACTGTCTCTTCTACGAGATGGTGGACTTCGACTCCTACCACGTTGTGACACATGTCGCATCACACAGTCAGACCGTGTGCACCGTCCCCTCAAAAAATCGCGGCATATTTGGCGCTCTTTACGGGCCAATGTCAACTTCCTTTCTTGTTCTTTTTTCTCAGCACATTCATCCACGCTATGTCCACGCATATAACAAAAAGAGCATAGTAGCTCGCTATTAATAGTTTTTATTGAAGCTGCAGAAACATTCACTTTATTTACTCCCAGCCCTCGAAGTCCTTTAGGTGGCTTCCCTGGGGGCGGCTTGGGGATAGGGCCACTCCTTTTTTTTACGCTTATAGTTACACGCATTCCGTTAGAAAGAGTATATTCCTCAGTTGGAATAATGAAAAAGCGAACTTCACCATCACTTTCAGAAGGAATACTTGCAGGGGCAACTTCTTCCTTTGGCTGGGCCCCAATAAGCCTTAATAACTCTTCTGGTGAAGCTTCTTCATTAAACTCATCCTCAATCGTTGCATTCATTTCTTCTCCCCGGCCAAAAGAACTTTCGTCTCTAACATGCCTCAAAAGAAATTCTTCAGCTGGTTTTATTATGGAATCACGATTAAATTCCACAATCGGTTGCATAGTCTGCTTCAATTCACGTTGTATTGTCTCTTCAGGCTCCATCTCCCGTCTTATTTTATCAAGGGCCTCTTTCGCTAACTGCTCTTCTGCCTCCCGAGTGGCCTGACGAAGAAGTTGTCTTGCCTCCCTTTGCGTTTGAATTCGGTGATTCCACCTAAGAAACATTGGATGTTCTGCCGACAAAAATCCGTATCTTGGAGTTGTGCGCAAAAGTTCATTAATATCCGTAGACAGTTTACCGCTTTCAGTCTCCATTTTTTCTTCCTCATCCAAAATTTTCGCCATCAACTCAGACATGGCGCTAGTTGTCTGCAGCTTAATTATTAATGTCAGATGTTGAGCTGCGATATCTTCAAAATCGTTACGACATCCAACAAACTGATTATTCACATAAATAATCATGTAATGCGGCCATATATTGGCTTTTGCAGCCGGAGAGTTGGTTTCAGTTGATAAAACCTCAGCGTCATCACTAAGTTTTAGCCCCAACACTGACAACGCCTCGCTTGCATATTGCCGTTCAAGTCGGCGCACAATAACCCCATCACCATCCGGCGGCGATGAATTGTCAATCGCGGCTGCCGCTTCCCCACCGTATTTGAGCCTTTCAAGAAACGATTTTGCTGAATCTCCCCCCTGCATCCCTATTTGGCTAAGTGTGTGGAAAAAAAAACAAAGAAACTTAAGACCAAACGCAAGACTCAACTCCCACCCACCTTCCTCCAAAAAAAAAAAGGACCCGGCGCGCGCTCCGCGTCTTTCAACACCGCGCGCGCCCCCGCCCCACCCTCGGCCAACCCGCCTACACCGGGACCCTGCCAAAAAAAAAAAAAGAGAAAAACAAAGGACCCCCGCCGCCCGCGCCTCCCTCGACAGGCGGCGGTCGGGTCGCCGCGCGACCTCCCTTTTTTTTTCGGCGCCGGCCCGGAGGGGCCCCCCGCCCTCGCCCCGCGGCCCCCCTCTCGCAGGGGCGCCGCAGGCGCGCATGCACACCCCCCCCCCCCCCCACCGGGGCGGGGTGCCCGGCCTTTTTCATCTGCCCAAGCTGGTGGGCGACGCCTTGCTGAACGACTTTTTTTTTTTTTAATAAAAAAAAAAAGGAAAAGGGAACCTCGCCCTGCTGGCTGGCCGTCGGGGAGCAGCAGCAGCAAACCCCAGCGGGGACCGGAGGGGCGGCGCCGCAGCGGAACGGCGCTGGATT